TAGTTTGACTCGTATAATGTAGTGATATAGGCACTAAAGAGATCTTTTACTAGAAGCTGGCCTCAAAGTTCGCCATTAATTCCATCTGACTCGTGAGGTCAACATCCTTGGCTAGTTCTCGCATTCTTCTCTCCTTAACAAAGACAAGTTCACTATAAATACATAACAAGGACGCAAGAAAAATACCTGCTCTCTGCGTCGCAGCATTGCCCCTTCATGTGTAAGCACATAATTATGGCTGGGTGAAGATGTGCTTCCAGGAGTGCCACCAGCAGAAGAATGATCGGCAGAGTCATGGGAATGATCGCGATGACCCTCGCGCTGGTGCTCCCTGCTTAGTTCACGGTGGCCCTCCCGCTGCTGCTCTCTGTTCGCCAGATTACGATTTTCAGGGCGAAGGAGATCCCCCTTTTCAATAGCCACTCCGCCGATCGCACGCTGACCTTCTCTTTCACGACGGCGTTGTTCCTCATCCATACGTAACTGTTTCCTCTGCAATTGAACAGGTAGGCGGTAAAGTTATTCGCTTCAATGTTATTCCGTAAATCAACCAACCTTTTCTTCTTTCAATTTTGCTTGAAGCTTGAACTGCTCCAACTGCTCGGCTGCTTTCATGGACATGGCGGAAGTGTGATGAGGCTGAAGCTGTTCTAGCACTGGTACATCTGCAAATCAGTATTGACAAGAAGTCATACATAGGAGTGCGTAGTATAGAATAAAGTCCAACGAACAGCTACTTAAATGTAACTCACTACGATTGATTTTGGCAGATTTCGTCTGTGAACGACCATCTGAATAAGATTGATTCAAAACTACTTACTTACGAGATATTACTAAAAAGAAAAGTAGATTTCCTACCTGCTGATGGTGGACGCACATCATTTGGATCTGGAGGCAACAATTGATCGAGAATCGAAGTACCTTCAAAACAACGCGAATATTAACTCAAGATAAGAAAACACGTTTTCAAGACTATAGCTTCTAAAAACTCATGTTCACTCAAAACCTTTATGATATGGAGCAGAGGAGAATGCAACAATGTACTATTTAACAGCCCGGAATTTAATGCACACTACTTGTGACAGAAAATTTAATCTTACCGACGGAATTCGGAGGAGACGTACCACTCTTCGAATCATCGCTGGGAAGCAGTTTGTCGAGAACTAAAACATTCCAACACTCAATAATAGGTAAATATTTTACACAACTGTGTTGATTGGGGAATGTAAAATAACGCTAAGAACGAACTTGATGCCGATGGAGGAGTCCTTGTTTTTGAATTGCCACCGGGAAGTAGCTGATCCAACAATGATGCACCTAGTAACTCACATTTTGCACATCTCATAGCAAAAAAATGACTAAGCACCAAAATGCCTTCATATAGACAAATAAACTTACCTTTAGCAGAATTTGAAGTGTCAAGACTCCCATGTGCAGACTGGACACGGCTGGCAGCTGCAATAGACAACTTCAGAACTTTGTATGAAAAAGCACTATTCCACCGGGCACAGATAAATTGTTCATCTTTAAGAAAAAATTTAGAACCGCTACATCTAGACCTATATTTGAGATAGAATCAAGAAAGCCACTGATGAATAAGGTTTTTAAAAACATTCGGGCACACATAGCATACAATTGAGAAGCTCAGAATGGGAGCTGATAGGTGATAATATAAATTTTTAAAGCCTGTTGAAAAAGGGATATAATTAACTATTAGCTTTCAAAAAGGCGCTATCACTTGTGCAATCCAACAACTAGTGCGGTTGAAATGTGCTCATAGGGAAG